AGCACCAGTTGAAGCCATTCCTTCTTCAATCCACCCGCATCAACGCCGGCCTCACCTGCAAAAGAGATCTTGCCCCACTTCACATACAGACGAGTGGGCACGGCTCGAAATTCCGCCTGCGTTTGCTGAAACACCGATGTATTGCCTTGGCGGTTCACCTCCAGTCTAGGCCATTCTGCATCGATGATGTCAAAACCTCTCTGGGCAAGTCCTCGAAGACCTGTGTCAAGCAAAGGCTGTCCTTTGAGTTTCCTTCTTTCATTCTCAGCATCCAGAAAGTCATCCATAAAGCCAAGAAGGTGAATGTCTTGTCCAGTTTGAGGGCTCACAAGGGGCCGATCAAACTGCTCCATTAGCAAAGCCTTGCTTGTCAGGCATTCCTCTGACACCCACAAACGGTTGTTTTGCACTGACAAGGGGCGGTGGCACTTGTCATCATCGGTGCCATCTTTGACAAATACAATTTTGTGCGAAGTTTCATTCACAAATCCGTCCAGTTCCGGAACAGGCTTTCTGGAAGATCCTGTGATGTAGCGCAGGAGTTTGCTCAGCGGCTTCTTCTGAATTGGTAAGCCCGACCCTTGCTGATGCAATTCTCCCATGACCCCCTCCATCATCTGGCGGTCTGCTTCTGACCAGGGCCCTTGCCAAACAACCCTGGCCAGAAAGCTCTCAGCATCCACCTCGTGGCTGCCTTCCACCAATTGCTTCAAATGAGATGCTCCTTGCAGTTTCTTCCAGAACATCTTGTCGGTGGGGATCACCTCGCGAAAGCCCTTGATGATTTCTTCAACTGGATCGGCAAAGCCCGTCTCCCATAGGTAGCGACAGTTCTGCTCAGTGTATTCCCGTGCTCTCTCATAAGGAACCGAATCGTATGGCTCGACACCGTTTGGTGCTGCTGCACCCCACTTGATGTCCAGTTCCTTCCACGTGTCGGGAGAGCGGTAAAGGGGCACGTAGCAATCATCTTGGACATACTTCCCCGTGTCTGCATCCTGGCAAGGCTTCAAGGCTTGAGCTGTTCCAAGTTTCATTTTGGTGGCGCAGAGTCTAACAGATCTCCCCCGCTCTCTATCTATCTATCTATCTATCTATCTATCTCTCTCTCTCTCCCCCTCGCACAGCCAGTCAAGCCACCATACCAGCATCATGTCCTGACCCTTCCTTGATTCGAGACGCTATCAAGACTAGACCGATAACATCCGATATCATCCGATTTCAACATGTTGACCTCACCCTTTTGCCTTTCACAGGCACCCAGCAGTCCTGGACTGCGTCGCAGCTCTTCCAAGCATAAGGCCCCACGTCCTCCAGCCTGCGGTTGCCCAAGATCGAGACGAGCCGCTCGCACTCCTGATGTGCGGCACCATGACGTAACAATGCATTGCATTATGCATGACAATGTGCGTCTGTCCCTTTCAACACTACGCTGGCTCGGCTTTCACCTTCAACAGTTGAATTCATGACACGAAAATCCCTCCTCAATGGTGTCATCCTTGCTGTAGTGGGCTGCTCCAATAGTAGCTGTGGGCTTTCCTGCCACCAAGCTCTCATAGATGAAATTGTGCAAAGGCAAGGGAGCAAAAACTCTTGGATCGATGATGTAGGCTCTTGCTATCCACTTGCCAAGAACATAGAAGTGATTCTTGGCACCTGCAGAGAGTTTGCCAGCGCTGTGGATTGGAACCACGTCCCCAGAAGGCAGGTTCTTGAGAAAGTACTGTGGAGTGGTGAGGTTCTCACACTCACCAGACAGACATGCAAGGCCATTTGCTGTTGCAGGCCCACTGAGAAGCTCTTCGGACGGACAAACGGCCGACTCCAGGACGAGCTGAAGCCACTCCTTCTTTCGCCCCTCCGAGACAGACAGGTCCGAGTTGGAGCCAGAGTAAACAATTCCTCAGACACGGTGCGGTGAGTTGTGCAACTTACTCGAGCTTAAACCACTACGAAAGAAAATGGTCCAAAAAAAATCTGGGCTCTCGCACTCAAAAGAAATCATCGGACTGCACGGAAATCATCAAACACCGAGATTCGGATCTTCGACCAGTCCCATTCCCATTGGGTCGAGTTGTGAAGTGTCGACAACATCTGTTGAAACACTGAGGCATTGCTTTCTTCCACATCCACCTGGATGTCCTCCTTGAAGGTTAGGTCGTGTAAAAGAAGCAAGGTGAAGTTGAACTCCACTTGAGCTTCTCCTCGGAGACCCTGACTCACAGGCGGCTGCTTTTCGTAGGTCCTCTCCCGGCTTTCACCAGCAAGCATGCCAGCCAGCAAGACATCGTCAAAACCAAGAAGATGGGTCTGCTCTCCAAGTTGTTTTGTATAGCTGGGGCTGATAATTTGCAAATGAAGTTGCTCCATGAGCAAAGCCTTTTCTATTAGACATGGTGCTGCCACCCACAGGTGACTGTCTTTCAATGATTGTGGAAGGTGGCACTGTCCATCGTCAGTGTCTGCTTTGACAAAGACGATCTTCTCCAAAGGCTCACCCAGAAACTCATCCTCTGCATGAACTGGTTCCGTCGAAGACCCGGTGATGTAGCGCAGGAGTTTGCTCAGCGGCTGTTTAAGAATTGGTAAGCCTGAGCCTTGCT